CAACAACAGTAACACTTGAGAAGGTCTAAAATTATATGAAACGTTGTGTAATTAATTAAATAAATATTAATTAGTTTATATGCATATCGGTCGAAAAATATTCAGTCATTAAATAATTTTTTTTTAGATTTAATTATTAAAAATGCAACGTAAAAGTGACTTGATTTATTTATTATAATGTGTATTGTTCAATATATTTAATTGCATTTTTAAATATAAAAATTATATTAATGATATATATTTGTGATAGAAGCAAACACATTTGACATTGTTCTATCGGTTCTTTTTTATAAATGACATTGAAATTACAAAAAAATTTTTATAAAAGTAAAAACATGCCAAGTGACATATACATATAAACACCGTCGACATTGTTTGTAAATATGTTGCTTTCGAAAATATTGTTCTACAAAATATTAAAAAAAAAACTTAATCTAAATATACATACACATAAGCACATTAATGTTTATTAATTGCATATAGAATAAACTTATAGAATTATGCAATATACATATTGGAATCAAAATTTGAAAAGAGAGAGAGCAGAGAGAATATGAATTAAATTACAAATTAAAATTGACTATTATATATCTTCTTTTTCTGATTAAAGTATAAAAAAAAGTGACATATATATACTCATGCTTCGAATTGTATACTTTTAAAAATTTATTAATTTGAAAAATTACTTGTGCAATCACATTGTTTACTATCATCAAAGTTTGCTGTGTGTTATCTAAATAAACTTAAATGGAAGAACTATGGCGTTATCTTATCTACATATAAATAATAAAAATATGTATTATCTTTATATCTGCATCTTACAAATAAATACAAAAAAGTACTACCTTTACTATATTATTTATTGAAAATAATTTTCAGATATTTTTGATTTAAAGTCATAGCACATTGGAATACTTAAAGTAAACAATAAAGCGATAAAAATAAGAATATATATATTGTTGTATCTTTTTCATAACTTATATTTCTTGTATAAATGTGTTTACATAACAAGTCTTAAATATTATTATCTAAACAATTATCTAAATAAATCGTCATATAATTGTATCTTTTATCTAGATATACTTGAAACAAAATCATCTTCATTCAATCTAAGATGAATTTACATACTTTATCTCATCTTTATCCAGCTAATTTTAAATTAATCTTGACACAACACTAAGTATCATTATCAAAAATTTATTACAATATTTTATGGTCGTATTTTAGATGGCCCTATGCGAAGAAAACATATGAAAGTCTTACGAAAAAGAAAAAGAAGAAAACCTAAACTTTGTTATAATAGGCATAAATTCTGCGATACAATTGCGAAGTTATTTGTCTCAAATTCTCTTTTATGATTATTTTTACAATAATAGATCAAATCGAAATTACTTCGATGACTCAATTCATAATGTATTGAAACTCGAAAATACTGTAAGGGAATTCAGTGGTAATATCGATAATATGTACATTCTTTGCCTGCATATCGATTTTTTTGTTATCCTCGACATCCTATAGATGTGCTGAAGAATATGTTTTATTTTGAAGAAATTAAATGCTTGTTAACACAATTTCCACAGTAGGATTTTCATATATATTATAATGCAACTATTATTACAATTTAATGTATTTAATCATTAGTTAATGCTTCAATATACATTTTTAGAGATCGCAAATCAATCGAAAGTTTTTGCAATATAGAAATGTCTCACTATGCGAAGCTATCCTCGATAGAAATGAGTTGGACATATATACAGAGAAACTTGAAAGAGAACAGCTTTTTGAAGAAACATGTACTTTCATAGCACAACAAATTCAACCTCGAAAAGATGTATGTTACACGAATGTAAGTGCATCATTGGATACAATCGCACAAGAAGTACGGAATCGTCTCAGAGAAAAGCATCCGAACCATTCGATATTCTCCACGTCTAATAAAACTTTTTCTTATTGGAAAACCAACAATATCGAAGATAATCATTGGGACAAAACAGAAAGTACGCAGATTATGGATACACTTCAAGAATATATATTTGGCACTTAAATTTTCGAGTATGTAGGTCCGTACCCGAAGATATCAAATGTTTGTGTATAGATTATGTAAGTTATAGATTATAATATATATAATTATGGGCCATATATGTATACGTTATATGTTGTTTTTAATATTCTCTCGCTTTGATCAATTTGTTCTGTATTATACCTGGCACAGGTTTTACAAAGTAAAGTTGGTTCAGATATCATTGTAAATACAATATTTCATAGCGTGGCTAGAAGACTTGGTCTACGTTGCGATGTAGTAAAGGTTTGGTCTTTCTTCTGTATATCTTGGAAATCAGAATTGTAAGTATAGATATATATTAGAATTGACATTATCATTATTTCTCGATAATCTTTTTTTTTATTATACGCATACATATATAATTTTTTATTATAAAAATTTTCATATGATTAAAGGTAATATTTTATTTAATATAAAAAAACTGTTAATCTCGGCTCGAATTATTGTGTTACAATAAAAATAAAATCTCGACGGCAATCGGAGCCTGCACAGGCTCCGATTGCCGTCGAGATTTTATTTTTAATATTTTATTTGTTTACAGCGTCACGAATAATTTAGAAAATGCAAGATGTTTTTCCATAAGAGACAAGAAATTCCCGAATTGTCTTCATAATTATCTGCAAAATTACGATTTTTATAAAACATATGACGTTAGCAAAATAGAAACTGAACAGGTTGAAACTTATTATTTACTTTTATTAATTTTAAGTTATTAATATGCTTGTGTAATTGACAAGCAATTAATAAATTACATTATATGTGTACAGAAAGAAGAGAAATGTACATCTCTCATTTTTTAATTTATAATTAAATCCTTGTTTACATTGAATCTTTATTCATGTTTAATTAACTTTTTTAGATGTCGTACATGATAAAAACTTTAATTGGAGAGTTTATAAGAAACCATAGAATATTCAATTTGGGATTAATCCAAGTGAATTGTAATGTGTAAAAAACATCCGCGCGCTAACATAATCGCATATTAGTATATACCATTGTAAAAATAAAGAGCATTGTGAGATATTTTCAAATAACAATTATGTATAATTTACAATTTTCTATAATTTTACGTGTTTTAAGTGTTTATTGAGGCATTTATTCACAAAAATCAATCAAAGTAAAAAATTTTACAGTTTCTGTCTTATTTTAATTAGTAGAACATATAAATGAAAACGTGAAATATGCTGTAGAAATTATCATAATATATAATCCTACAGATCAATCTACAGATTCGGACCAACATAATAAATTTAAATTAATAATAGAATGTTATTGACATATACATATATACATACATGTTCGACAATTGAGATTCAACGATGAATAAAATATAGCTATTATCTTTCTGCGATATTTATTGTATTAATTAATATAAATAATAAAGTAAGAAAATTTTGTGACTGCAACAATTTGAATTCGTGGCAAAAGAATTAATAAATAAAAAAATTAAAATAAAAAAATTACCTAATTTGATAACTTTTTTTAACACTTTCAATATATGCGAAATATGACGTAATAAATTTGCCATCTATTAATATCTATTATTTTGAAACTTATATAATCGATAGTGTGATGCGAATGTATAAATAGATATGTAATAAAAGACAATGATTTTTATATTTTCAAATATACATAATTCTTTTGTATTGAAGAAGACGATAAAAACTTATAATTGATATTAGATTTTGTATGATATTAGCATAATTTCAGATGTTGCAAATTCATCTCAATTTTAGAATCTCAATTTTAATTCCTCAGTTTCCGATTCAGCGACTTTTGGACCGATATATTTTGCTTTTCTACATCTTTGTAGGGAAATCAAAAGAAAACATAGGAATTAAAATCTCGAACTGAGATTTATTCACAAACATCTGCGTTGAGTTCGCATAGTTTGTTCATTTTGAGTTTGTATTTAATCCATGAAGTTTTATATTCTTATAAAGTTTAGATTATTAAAATATATACACCCTATATATACGCGCAAATAAAACTACATAAAATTGTAGAATATTCTTATATAAACTATTTGTACATGCATCATTTATTAAATATTCGTATTGTAATTCGGAAATTTTATTTTAGCTGGGAATTTTATCTGTTAAGATTTGAAAAATGCAAAATGTAAATCTATCTCTTTCCCTTTCTCTCCTATCGAGAACATTTCATAATGCACAGCACGGAGTTGTAAATTGTAAAATATGAATACATAAAAGTTGGTAAAATTAAAAAAAATAAATGATAACTTGAAATAAAAATTATTTTGTATTACATGTGCAGGCAATGTGGCACTTTCGGTGCACGATTTTTGTGCCGAAAGTAACCAATTTCCACCATCGACTTACAATATATTACATACTTATGTTCAATGCATCCCAACCCGGTTTCAATAGCCTCCCAAGCCGGTTTCAATGTATTTCCTACGGGTTTCAACGCCATCTCCCAGCACACACGAAAAATAACTGGCACACTACCGCCACTTCGCGCCTGCCCAACACGCATCTAACCTATCAGCTACTCGTATCTCGTATCTCACTCGCTTCACGTAACATATCACCTACTCGCATATCAGTCATCTCTGCGTTACACAAAACTAAATTCATTAAACACATACAGTGTTCAAAATAATCAAATATAAAAAAACAATCCTAAAACTATGACAAGTGACAACATAATGGAATTATCAACTAGCGAAAACGAACTAACACCTCCTGAAATAACAGAAACCGCTGAAGCTACGATACAAAGTCTCTTACCCCCAAAATCGAGAGAAAAATACGAAACAGCATACAGCAAGTTTATAGCATGGAGAGCTAAAAAAAAACAAATCGATGTCTGAAAAGGTACTTCTCGCATATTTCATAGAGCTATCGAAATCTAACAAGCCATCGACTATGTGGGCAACATACTCTATGCTCAAGACTACAATAAATATAAAAATAATATCAACATCAACAAATACGAAAACCTCACTTCATTTCTAAAAACACAGTCAAAAGGATTTCAGTCCAAAAAGCGAACACTTTGACGCCGGAACAAATTAAAAAGTTTCTCGATGAAGCACCAGATCAAACACACTTAGCGACAAAGGTAAATATCAAACATAAAAATACATTATTACATAATAACTAAAATATTAAACATAATTACAAATATAAAGTAAATAATATAACCATACCACAAAAAACTTCAAACATTATACACACGCATACTCAACTATTTACAAATTATACATTACATATATTATTTACAGCTCGCTACTATCTTTGGAATATGTGGAGCATGCAGAAGAGACGAACTAGCTAATATAAATATGGAACACATCGAAGACAGAGGATCTCTAGCTCGTTACAATTCCAACCACAAAAAAAACTATAAACCGAGAAGCTTTGTGTAACAGAAGAATTTTACAGTATTTATAAAAAATACTTAGCCCTCAGACCACACGACATCAAAACACCAAAATTATTTCTAAACTACCAAAAAGGAAAATGACCCATCAAGTGATTGGACTCAATAAATTTGGCAAAATGCCAACGGTCATCGCAACTTATCTGAATCTACAGATCCTAACTCTTACACTGGACATACATTCCGTCGTACTTCTGCCACGATCTTGGCAGACTCTGGAGCAGACATACTCACACTAAAACGACACGGAGGATGGAAATCCAACGCAGTAGTGAAGGATATGTGGACAACTCCTTTACTAATAAAAAGAATATTTCCAATCAAATCACAACCACGATAACAAATAATAACTTTCCAACTTTTCAATCAGCAAAAACAATTTACGACCAAGCACAACCATCCACATCTACAAACTGCATACAAAACGACAAAGAAAATGAACCTACAAACACTCAAACTGACACTATAGATCAACAAATATCAACAAGAACTTAACTGAAATATTGTCTGCCTCCAAACTAAAAAGTATTACATTCTCAATAACTATTACGCCAATCTCACAATAACTTTACCACAAAGAAAAACTAATATTTTTTTTTCATTTCTTTACTTTATAAAAAAACAATTTCTTTTTAAAACATGATGTATCAAATTTATTATTCTGCTTGTAATATAATTGCAAATATTCGTTTTAATTACTATAATATACTTATACTATAATATAATATATTATATATTTCCATTCAAATTTTTCCTTTTTTTTTTTTGAAAAAGCTTTAACAATTTATTCTCAATTTTCACATGTATGTATTTCTTTATATAAAATCCATTCAACTTATACTATATAAAATAACGGCAATAAATACGTCTTCCAAAAAATGATAAATACAACATTCCCAGGAAGGGAAAGAGGTGTTAGTTCGTTTTCGCTCGTCGAAAATTCCATAGCAATAATTTGCTTTAAACAAAAATAAATGAGAAATACTCAGTTATTTTATATATTCAACGCTATATAATTATAAATCATTCTATGGACACGCAGAAGACGAGTGAATTTCATATATTTAATAAGCGGGAGCCAACGGAAGAATTACAATAGGGGATATACATTCAATACCAGAAGGAATACGGCCTACATTTAATTCCCTTCTACTAACTCGGGACATAACCTTTACGCTCAATCTCAAATACAATTTGTTCCAACCTACTCATTTTTCAAATAATTGATAAATAAAATTCACAATTTATCTTTTCTTAACAAATTAATTACAGTATTTAATTATTAACAGTATTTTTTTTTTAAATACCACCACTCGTGCGGGTAAACGCACTCGCCTTCGGCTCGTGCGCCCACCCGCACTCGTGTGGTACACACACACACACACACACACACAGCACACGACACAACTCTTCTATGCACTTGTAATACAAAATAGTATGTGTACCACGTGCGGAATTGGCTATTGGATACGAGAGCAGATGAACGCACTCGCCTTCGGCTCGTGCGCTCACCCGCCCCTCGTATCCAATAGCCAACTTTCCGCATTGATACACAATTGTACTATTAATTAAGCTTAAATAATAAATAAACAAATACATGAAAATTAATAACATTTGAAATAACTGATAAATTTGGAAAAATATATTATTTTAATTAAGCTTAAATAAAGAACAATACATAAATAAATAGTAATATAAGAATAATTAATAAATAAAATATTTACCACGTTCTATCTTCAAGTGCATAAAAAAGTGGTAATTTTTGCTAGTTTTTAATTACATTTTTGCGCATGCCGTGACAAAATCCTTATACCTGTATCTAGGTAAAAAAACAATAAAACTTTAAAATTTGGGGTCACATTTCATAATAAAGAACAGACCGTCTGTAGTGTGGAAACGTTTCTCGTGTACATCAATACACATTTGTGTCTTTGTAATCGGCACTCATTTCGTACTGCGAAAAGCAAGGAATTAATTACGCGAATAGTATTTTGCAATCACTTGAATTTATATTCCTTCCTTGTGTTTTGTTTCTTATAATGTCTGATTATAAGATAACGTGCTTACCAGAGGAGATAATAACCATCATTTTCGGATATAATGTTATCACTATTGAGGATATAATTAACTTTCGATGCGGTGTGCCAGCAATTTCGTTATGCAGCAACCACATTAAACAAGTTCTTGGAAAAAAAGTTATCTCAAAGGTAATCTTGTGGGTTTGTAAATCTTTTGTTATTTCGTCTCATTAACGCTTGTCGCATAATGATTATCACTTTCTGCGAAGAACGTTTATTATAAATATGTAATAAATACCAAATATTAGAAAAATTAGGTATGTTTGCATTTATGTTGCATATTTAAATTATTCGCTTTCATTTTTTCTATTGCTCAATAATTTTGGCAAACTCTACCGTTATATATATTCATATATAATATAAATATACATATATATATATATATATATATATATATATA